GCCTCCGCCTGCACCCCCGGATCCGCCTGCGGCTCGGGGGGCCCCGGCCCTTCTGTGGCGCCCCCCTTCTCCTGGCCGCCCCACTTCCTGCCGCTGGGCACCCCCTGGCCCGAGGCCGCGGCGCTGTGGGGCGCGGCCTGGGGGGGCCACGTCTATGGGGCGGGGGCGGCCTTCGCGCTGCTGGGCGCGCTGGGGGCGCTGCTGCTGCTGGGGGCGCGGCGGCCGGCGCCGGCCCGGCTGCTGGGGGCGCTGCTGGCCGCCGCCGCCTTCGCCCGCGCCTTCCCGCTCTTCTTCGACCCCTACGAGCTGGGGGCGCGGCTGCCGCCCGCCGCCGCCCGCGCCCTGTTCGAGCTGCCGCCGCCGTGCCTGGGCTGGGGGCTGGCGCTGGCGCCCCCGGCCCGGGGCGCGCCGCTGCTGCTGGCGCTGGGGGCGCTGCACCTGGGGGGGGTCCTGGGGGTCGTGGGCGCCGTGGCGGCGCTGGGCGGCCCCGCGGCGCTGCTGCTGCTGCCCCGGGCTCTGTTCGCCGCTCTGGCGGCCGCGCTGGCGCTGGGGGGGCTGCGGCGCTGCGGGGCGGGCGGGGGGCGCGGCAAGCGCGGGGCGGGGGCGCGGGCGGGGGTCCCGCGGCTGCTGGGGGCGGCGGGCGCGGCGCTGAGCGCGGGGCTCCAGCTTTTCGGGGCGCTGCAGGCCCGCGGGTGGGCGCTGACCCCCGCCCCCGGGCCCTGGGCCTGGTGGGGGCTGCAGCTCGGGGGGCGCCTGGCCGAGCTGGCCATGGGGGGGGCGCTGGCCGCGCTGGCCTTCGCCGCCCCCCCGAGCGGCCGCGCCGCCCCCGGCGGCCACCCCGAGCCCCCCGAGGGCGGCGGCGGGCGGGGCCCGGGGGAGGAGGCGGGGGGGCCCCCCGAGTCCCCCCTGGACGTGGACGGGGACCCCACGGCCGGGTACCGGCCCCCCTCCCCCATCGACCTGCGCCGCTCCATCGACGAGGCCCTGGGGGCGCCGGGGATGTTCCGCGCCGGGAACGGCGGCATCGGGGCCACCGGGAGCGCCGGCACCGGCCGCGCCGGGACCGGAGGGAAAACCAAGAGCAACGGGGTCAGCGTCCTCGGGAGCACCGGGAGCACCGAGATCAGCGTCATCAGCACCGCCGGCAGCGCCGGGAACGCCGGCGGCACCGGCAGCACCGGCACCAGCACCACCGCCCTGCCGGGAGGCGGCGGCGCCGCCGCGGCGGGGCTGGGCACGGGGAGCGCCGGGACCGCCTTGGGCACAGCCGGGGCTGCGGGAACCGGCGGCTCCGGCGCGGCGGGGGCCGGCACGCATGGAGCAGCCGGTGCTCCTGGCACAGCTGGAACGGCTGGAAAACCCGGCACGGCTGGAACAGCCGCCACAGCTGGCACGGCTGGCAAACCTGGAACACCTGGAACAGCTGGAAAACCCGACACGGCTGGCACAGCTGGAACACCTGGCACAGCTGGAACACCTGGCACGGCTGGCACAGCTGGAATAAACAGCAAACCTGGCTCAGCCACCACACCTGGCACAGCCGGCACAACCAACAAACCTCTCACAGCTGGCACAGCCGGCACAACCAGCAAAGTTGGCACAGCCACAACACCTGGCACAGCCGGCACAACCAACAAACCTCTCACAGCTGGCACAGCCGGCACAACCAGCAAAGTTGGCACAGCTGGCACGGTTGGTACAACCAGCAAACCTGGCTCAGCCACAACACCTGGCACAGCCGGCACAACCAACAAACCAGGCACAGCTGGCACGGCTGGTACAACCAGCAAACCTGGCACGGCTGGAACACCTGGCAAAACCAGTACACCTGCCACAGCTGGAGGAACCGGCACAGCAGGAACAACCAGCAAACCTGGCACAGCCGGCACAGCCAACACACCTGGCACAACTGGCACGGCCGGAACACCTGGCACAACTGGTACACCTGCCACAGCTGGAACAACCGGCACAGCCACCACACCTGGCACAGGTGGCACAGCTGGAACAACCAGCAAACCTGGCACAGCAGGCACACCTGGCACAGCTGGCACAGCTGGAACAACCAGCACACCTGGCACAGCAAGCAGACCTGGCACAGCTGTCATGGCCGGAACACCTGCCACAGCTGGAACAACCGGCACAGCCGGCACACCTGGCACAGGTGGCACAGCTGGAACAACCAGCAAACCTGGCACAGCAGGCACACCTGGCACAGCTGGCACAGCTGGAACAACCAGCACACCTGGCACAGCCAGCAGACCTGGCACAGCTGTCACAGCCGGCACACCTGGCACAGGTGGCACAGCAGGCGGGACAGAGCGTGGCACCACCAGCACAAGCAGGGACAGCAAAATTGCGACCCCGGGAATTGGCACCACCGGCACCTCTGGGGCTGGGGCACCGGGCACCGCCGGCACCAGCAGCAGCACCGGCAGCACAGCTGGAACACCTGGCACAGCTGGAACACCTGGCACAGCTGGCACAGCTGGGGGACCGGGCCCTGCAGCGCCTGGCACAGCTGGCCCATCAGATGCCAGCTCCTCTGGCACAGCCGGGACACGGGGGCCCGGCGCTGCTGGCCCCGCCGGTGCCCCCGGTGCCCCCGGTGCCAGCGGCGCCGCCCCCCGCGGCCCCCCCGGGCTGTCCCGCGCCGCCTCCTGCGGGGGCTCCCCCGGGGGGGCTCCGGGGCCGGCCCGGGGCGGGGGTCCCGGAGCGGCCCCCCCGGCCCGGGGAGCCTCCCGGGGGGAGCCGCCCCCGCTGCGGCCGTCGCAGAGCTGGGCCGAGGGGAGCCCCCGGGCCGGCCCCGCGCCCCCCGGCCCCGCGCCCCCCGCGGGCGGCGGCCGCAGCCCCGGCAGCGACACCATAGACTTGTAGGGCGCGGCGGAGACAGCCGGCCCCCCGAGCCGCCCCCCGAGTCCCTGAGACCCCCAAATGCGGGTGACAACGGCGGGACCCCCAAACTCCTGAGACCCCCCAAGTGCTGCTGGTGACGATCCGGGGACACCCCAGGTCCCTGAGACCCCCCCCCCCCCCCAATGCGGGTGACAATCCGGGGACGCCCCCCCCCATGCCCTCGAGACCCCCAAGTGTTGATGACGACCTGGAGACCCCCAAGGTGCCCCCCCAGGTCCCCGAGACCCCCAAATACGGGTAACAAACAGTCCCACATGTCCCTGAGACCCCTCCAAGTGCTGGTGACAATCTGGGGACCCCACCCAAGTTCCTGAACCCCCCAAGTACTGACACTGCCCTGGGGACCCCCAAGGGGCGACAACCTGAGCCCCCCCATATCCTGGAGACCCCCAAGTGCTGGTGACAATCTGAGGAGCCCCCCGAAGATCCCAAGTCCCCCCGAAGAGGAGCGACAAACTGCCCGGCCCAGCTGAGCCCCCCAGGTGCTGATAAGGACTTGGGGACCCCCAAGCCGCCCCCCAAGTCCTTGAGACCCCCAAAGACGGGTAACGAAGTGCCCCACCCAAAGCCGGGAGCCCTCCAACCGCTGGTGCCAGCCTGGGGACCTCCCCAGCTGCCCCCCAAGTCCGCGAGACCCCGAAGTGCTGGTGCCCCTCTGGGGACCTCCCCCAATTCCGTGAGACCCCCAAATACGGGTAAGAAGCGCCCCCCAAGTCTTTGAGCCTTCCAAGCACTGGTGCCAGTCTAGAGACCACCCCCCCCAGACGCCCCTCAGGTCCCTGTGACCCCCCCAATACGGGTAATAAAGTGCCCCCCAAGTCCCCGAGACCCCCAAATGTTGGTGACGACCTGGGGCCCCACAAAACCCCCCGTGGCCCCCCATTTCCCCCAGCGTGTACCCAATAAAGTGCCACGTGCGAAAGATGTGTGTGACAGCCCGGGCAGACCCCTGAGCACCCCAAAACCTGGGGTGGGACCCCCGAGCCCCTCTGCCTCCCTAGATCCAATACGGGACCCCCGAACGGTACCCCAAGGGCCTCTCGACCCCCTTCCCGTGGGGTGGGACCCCCCGAGCCCTCGGGGCTGTGCTGTGGGACCCCCGGACCCCCCCCGACCCCTCGGGGCTCTGCTGTGAGACCCCCGGACCACCCCCGGGCCCCTCGGGGCTCTTCTGTGGGACCCCCCGACCCCCGGACCCCTCCTAGCCCCCCCCCGCCCCCCGGTTCCGCCGGTCCTCCGCGCCGCCAGGGGGCGCTCTCCCCGCGCCGCCAGGGGGCGCTCTCCCCGCGCCGCCAGGGGGCGCTCTCCCCGCGCCGCTCCCGGCGTGCCCCGCGCGCCAAGATGGCGGCGGCCGAGCCGCGCACGGTGCTGGTGCGGGGCCTCCCCGCCGGGGCCACGGCCGCGCTCCTGGAGCGGCTCTTCGGGCACCTGGGGCCTGTCCGCCGCTGCTTCGTGGTCACCGAGAAGGG